ATTTTTCATATTTTACCCAAATCTGTGTAAAAAAAATAATCATTCAATAAGATTGGGTTAAAACTTTACCCAACTTTTGGGTAAAAAAAATGTGGGTAAAACAACAAAGTAAACGAGTACCCAGGATGAGTTGGGTAAGAACTACCTAATGTTGTGTCAAAAAGGGAACATGGTTGTCGTTGGGTAACATTTTACCTTTTACATTGGGTCAAACATAATTATCGCACATCAGTTGAATAAAATATATAGTAAACATTTTCTGGGTGAATTTGTACCCAACCACCCCTGTGTCAAATTTTACCCAACAAACATGCATGTTCCCTTTTTACTCTCGTAAAGTGTAAAATTTTACCCAATATTGGGTATCTTTTTTTAGAGTGTAAGAAAAACAGAGGGGTGTGCTGGGTATAAGAGACGATGTGAATTACTTTTGTAAAATTCCGAGTCTGTAGTCAAAAGGGGCGATTCAGGGTACCCCCCCCCCCCTTTCCCGGGTATATAAACATGCCATATCCCTTGATTTCGCCCCTTCTTTACTTTATGTCTGACTACACCCATCTGCATTGTCCTGAAAATAAATATATGGAATAACAGCTTAGACCCCAATGGCAAATCATGCATTTTAACTGCATTATTTAAAAACTGTAAAAGTTTGTTGCAATTCTTCCCCTAACATTCTTAACCTGAATAAAAATATTACGAATACGAATGACAGGTGTTAATTTGAATGATAAAAATTACGTTTCGACAAGCGAATATTAATTTGAATGCTAGTTGAGCAGTTTCTAAATTGAATGACAGATCTATCAAACCCTTCGACCAAAATCCTAAATTGAATACAAAAACTGAAAAATTGAATGATAATTGGCATGGCAAAGCCGATCTGCGCTAACGTAAATGCAAAGTAAATGAATTCGAATGACAAACACGCGAATTTGGCCGGGAAATCCTATACTGGTACATTTGTCCGACTTGCTTCGAAGTACAACATTTAATGATAAGGACTGTTTTTTATGGGGGACTTCAACATACATATACTCAAATGTGCCACTAACAATATCGCCCATGAGCTCATGGAAACTTTCTTATTTGCCTCCTTCCGTGCCGCTTGTTTCTAAACCCACTTGCGTAGCAAATCTGTCTGCCAGTTTAATAGACAATATTTTCTCCAACGTTACTCCTCATCCTGATTCATACAATCATTCTTTCTGATGCAACCGATCACTACCGGTATCCCATTTTGACGTACTACACTGTATCCCAGTCACTTAATAATCATGGTCCCCGCCTTCTAAGACTTAAAGTTAACAACGCGAACTTAACCCGTTTAAGTGCTATGGTCTTGAAAATGTGGATTGGTCATGTGTTTTTGATAAAGATGATGTGGAATTTTCGTAAGATCTGTTTTGTCACATTTTGAACACCCAGCTAGATTCGTTTATTCCCTAACAATGAGACAATAATAGAAATTATAAAAAGTCCAAGAGACTTCCATGGATATCATAAGTCTCTACTCCCCTCTATAAATCTGGAAGAAATAAAACTTTATTATAAGTATAAATCAAAAGGTACAGGCAAAACTAAACATAAATATACATCCTACAAATATACATCCTACAAAAATACTTTGACTAAAATCATACGTTTAGAAAAGAAAAAGTACTTTATAAACCAACTTGAACTACATAAACATGATATGAAAAACACTTGAAAAGTCCTGGAAAAAAACAATGGATGTGGCAAACAATAAAGCTCTTATAACGGAAATCAAACCTAATGATGGAATTGTACAGGAGCCCGTAAACATTGCTAATGATATATTTAATACCCACTTTCCTCCATAGGGGATAATCTTGCGAAAAATATACCTCCTTCCAATAAACATTTTACAGATTTTCTTGCTCTAGCTAACTAGAGTTCTATATTTTTTACTCTGACATATACCCATGAAATTATAGACATTGTTTCAAACCTAGACAATAAGACAAGTTCTGGCTACGATTGAATCAATAATGTTATCCTTAAAGCCATTATTCCATTTATAATAGATCCCCTGGTTCATACATTTAATTTGTCTTTGCTACATTGGAAAATTCCCAACTCTATGAAAATTGCTTTATTTAATAAACAGGACAAACTAAATGTAAACAACTATCGACCAATCTCTTTGTTATCTCCTTTCTCCAAGATCTTGGAGAAAATCATATATATTAGAACACTTGCCTTCCTAAAAGACCATGTTTTTTTTCCAACTTTCAATTTGGTTTTAGGGAAAAGCATAGTACACTCTAAAAACTGAAATGTTAAATAACCATTTAAAAGGGCCGAGGAGTGACCACTCTTTCAAAATGGTAGATTAACACTTTGAACATGCTGGATCCAACATTATAAAGGTTGAATCTAGCAGGTTAAAAGAAACAATCTGACATTTTGAAAGAGTGGTCGCTCCTCGGCCCTTTTAAATTGACATTTATCATTTCAGTTTTTAGAGTGTACCATTCATGCTTTATTATCTTTTGTAGAGAAAGTAGCTCATGCTATTGCCAAAATATTGTTGGTAATTTCCTGGACTTCTCCAAGGCCTTTGACACAATAAACCACGATACATTACTTTATAAACTTTCCCATTAACTTGTACTTTTGAGTTGTTCAGGAACTATGATAGTTCCTGAACCACTCCAAAGTACAAGGTAATGGGAAAGTTTATAAAGTAATAATCGTTTAAAAAGACATAAGGCTTTCTGTTAGAAAGATAATCTTTCTAACAGGAAGCCTTCTTTCTAACAGAAAACCTTATGTCTTTTTAAACAATTGTTCATCAGATTTATGTAACGTTAGCTTTGGTGTTCCCCGGGAAGGCCTGCTACATGTAGGTCCAGTTTTATTCATTTCATATATAAATGATTTCTGCAGATCATCTCATATTTGATCGTGTTTTTTTTTGCTGACGACACGAATCTGTTCTTTTCCCACAACAATCCATACACTCTTATGAAAACGTTTTATTCTGAACTATGTAAGATTCTAAAATGGATTAGAGCAAACAAACTTTCACTTAATCTCCCAAAATCTAAATATATTTGTTTAGTAATACTATAGGCTCACTGCCAAACAACATTGAATTAAATGACTTTCCGTTAGCGAAATTTTTGGGCGTAACAGTCGACAATAAACTCTCATGGAAGTATCATATTGACAACATCTGTAAAACTATTTCTCGTAATATTGGTGTCATGAATAGATTAAAAACTCATCTTCCTTACTTACGCTTTATTCCTCTCTGGTCTTACCATATCTAGATTATGGACTCCTGGTGTGGGGCAATATACACCAAACTATGTTAAACAGAACCTTATAGTATATTACGAAAGCATTGTAATGACTTTCATCTACCTCTGCTGAGAACCCTTCTAGCTAAAAACACGTTTATTTATACAGCCCCCTAATTTTGGAACTCCCTTCATAATGAAATCCAACTTGCCCCCTCTCTTAAAGGTAAAGACCAATATTGGAAACGCCCCAATTTCAAAAAGAGAAATGGAAGCTCTTATTACCAATTATGTGAAAGAATATGTTTTGACTAATACATGATGATAAAAAATTTGCAGGGAAACCGCCTACTAATTGATATATTTGGTAAATTAGTTTGTCTATGGTCTGTGAGAGATAAACGCACGTGTCGCACACGTGTGCGTATAGTCCCATATACATCTTTCTGTGTACAGTGCTTGTAACTTTACGAAGACAGGGCCAAATTTCTTATCATTTTGATGATTCCAGAACCTTGCAGTACACACCAATACTTATATGCTAGATGATCAACCTTCAAGATGAAGGACATATATAAAGCAAAGAAACAAATAAACTAATTCAACAAACAGAGAAGAAAAGCAGAAGAAAGAGACATAGATAGAGGGAGACAGAGAGAGAGAAAAAGAAAGAGGAAGAGAGAAACAGGTGTCATCACTACGCGACACATCTATAATCGATGTGTAGATACTTATAGGTACCATGGCAGGGATCGCCACCTAGACAGGGGCGGCGATTTCTTTCCATGAACGGGGGGGGGGGGGGGGGGGGGTCGGGGACGAAATGCGAGAAACGAGGGAGGAGTGAGGTGGGAAATCTGCATCACCACCGCCCTTATATGTTACATGCAGGCCCCGTGGAACGTTTTTTCAAAGTGGGAGGGGGAGGGGGCTCAAGTATTTTCGATCAGATAGAGCAAGGCAGGTGGGGCGTAAATTGGCGCAGGGTCCAGGTCAAAGCCCTGGCGGGGGTCAAGGGGCGGAGCCCCATGGAGCTCAGAGTTTTAGGCATTTAATAAGGGTCAGATGAGCATTATTTTGATACCTTATTTGTGACACTTGTATGCAGGTCACTAATCGGAGTGGGGTCCAGGGGGCGAAGCCCCCAGAAGCTCAGCGGTTTTAGGCATTAAAATACGATCAAATGAGCATCCAGGGGCCGCCTTAGGGCCCTTGTTGGGGTCTAAGGGGCGAAACCCCCAAAAGCAACGCCATTTCAGCAACATTTGTAATTGGTATGGAATTAGAAATAAACCACGCCCGATTGAGTGAGCGAGAGGGGTGAAGTTGACGAAAGTGACTACCCCCTCACAGGTTTTGAAGTTTTGTTGTATTACAAAATTATATTCCTTAACAAAACTATAGTATGAAAACAAACTTTTTTCACACTTCACTTTTCTACAATATTTACTTGTACATTTTGAAGGATATTATGCGAGGGAGCAGAGCTCCCGAGCCAGAAGATTTTTGCATTTGTATTTGTCTAAACGCCGCACTAGCTCTTGGGCCCTCCAAAGCCTAATAGCAGTCTTTAGTCAGTACTTGCTGTACATTATTTTTTTGCACTTTTTCATATTTTCCGGGCGGGACGACCTACAAAAATCGACCTACAAAAATCGAGGGGGGACGAGTCCCCCCCGTCCTCCCGGGATCACCGCCCCTGCACCTAGGACACTACTTACAGAAAAGCAGAAAAACAGAAGAAAGAGGCATAGAGAGAGGGAGGCAGAGAGAGAGAAATAGAAAGAGGAAGAGAGAAACAGGTGTCATCACTACGCGACACATCTATAATCGATGTGTAGATACTTATAGGTACCACGGCAGGGATCGCCACCTAGGACACTATTTACGGCGTTAACAGTGCAACTCTGCTCCCCTTGGCAAGTCGTCCTTACGTATAAGGGATTCAGTGACATGCAGTCCACATTGGACGTTGTCGCCGGCCGGGTTTTCGCGCAAGTTGTTGTGTCACTTTGGCCATAGATGGACGAGCAAATGCTGATGGTCTGTCCAGCCGAGCAGGTGATCCTTGGTTCGTCCTTTCCCTCACATATGTCGATGCTTACTGTATTGGATCAAATGAGAAGAATATGGTCATTGGCAAGCTTAAATGCCTAATAATTTAAGAAAAGTTCAATTCAACGACTTCGTCTTCCGTTAGAAACTCTGGATCAATGTAAGCTCGGTTTTTTCATTTTAAAAATTGTTTATGAGCGACAAGTCAGTTTCTCCAGCGAAAATCAATCTTTATCGCAAAAAAATAAAGTTTATCAGTACATAATTAACTTATGCAAAGTTTTCGTTTAAAAAAGAAACTGAGTTTACCGGCGATGAACTTAGTTAAAAAAAATAATAATAACTGCGCATTTGGCTTGTCATAAAAACAGTACAGTTATTGTTAAAAATGGCCTGTGCATGCTTTCAAGGCCGAATGGTCTTATGGAATGCACTGCTTCCCCCATCAACAGGCTAGCGCATATGAAAACACGGCGACCTTTTCATTCCATATGCCGATCTGCTTATCTTTTAATCAGCATGAACAAATCACAGCATTGAGTGATTATGCTTCCGCGTCTCTGCGAGAAATCACAAGCGGTTATAACACATTACCCCAATGAGAAAATCCCCCTGCTTGTCAAATAACACGATCTTCGATGCCGATGGTAAATTTTGCATTTGAGTGGTAAATTGAAAGTGATAAATACAAAGAATGATACTTATGTGTTTGTGTGAACGATTGACCGCAGCTTTTTAAGTTTGGCCACGCCGTTATTAATAAAGAAAAAATCACATGTCTTTTTGTATATACACCATTTATTTCTTCATAAATATTTCACTATTTTCTTCTTGATAAATCATTTTTGGTTTTTACTGCGTTATTTGGGAACTAGACTTTTAAATTCAAGCGTGTTTAGAGTCTGGTAATATACTCACTCAGGGTTTGTGGGGGAAGGTCGTCCTCGGGTTCGCACGTATAAGTGATCTGAAGGTATTTATATGTGCCTGGACATGGATCATCGCCAAATAAACTACTCGATGCAGTCACAGCACATTGGGAAAGACCAGTGCAACACGAAATGGTGTCGAACACACCAGCTGCCATGCAATTTGTATTGCTAACCTTGTCGTGTGGACAAACATCTGCTTCGGTCCTCCCGTAGAGGGCGCTGCCGATGTTGATCCTGCCGTTAGTGCAGTTCAGGACTGTTTTGCTGCCCTCGCATATTGTTACAACAACTAGTGTGAAACATAGGAGAAACAAATAGAAACACAGTTGAAGACATACTGATAGTGATACCCTCACATATCGTACAAAATACTACTAAATGAAACAAGGGGGGGGGTAGATCGAAGCACACCCATCATGTGGTGATTATCAAAATTATAAGCGAAATGCTTTATGGGCCCCTATAAATCTTGACCCTTCCATTTTATTATGGTACGCAAGAGGGAGACCCTTCCCGGTAGCACTACGCATGCAGTGTGAGGGAAGGACCAACTTGTGAGGATCAAGGTAAACGTCCTGGTCTACCTCAAGCTGGTAGGGGTTGTGAGCCATCTGACTTGTTCAGTTGGTGGCGGACAGACCAGGGTGGCTAGGAGAGGAGTGTCTCATTCGCCTAGTGTAACTATATGAGCGAAACTGCATGAATGATGGAAAGCCTAAATAGCACCAGGGTGAAAGCCCCTGATAATACTAACCAGCCCTTTCGACTGATGGGCCAGCAAACTGCAGTGCATGATGATGCATCATCTCCAAACCCAGTTGGAAGAGATCATGTTGATAACCCCAAAGAAAAAACGGCTCTACTAACATAAAAAAAAAACTGATAGGTATTGGCACATGGAATGTGCGTACTCTAAATCAAGATGGAAAACTAGACATTCTAATGAGCCAATTGGAAAAATTCGAGTGGGAATTGGAGTCTCAGAGACGTCTCACTGGAAAGAATCAGATTTCACCGAGAGAGGATACAAAGTACTGTGTGCTAGCGAGGAAGATGTACACAGGAGAGGCGTCGCTCTGATCCTCAACAAACAAGCACAAAAAGCACTCCTGGGATATAACACCATATCCCCTAGACTGATCTCGGCCAGATTCCAAACACAGGTTGGAGCCTTAACAATAATCCAGGTTTATGCACCGAACATGGCAGACAGAGAGGAAATGATAGACACATTTTATGACCAGCTTCAACAAACAATAGATGACACTCCTAACAAGGATATACTGATAGTGCAAGGTGATTTAATCGCAAAAGTAGGGAGAGACTGGGACACCTGGAAGAACGTCATAGGACATCATGGATACGGAGAAATGAACAACAGAGGAGAAAAGCTTTTGAACTTTTGCATGGCCAACAATCTAGCTATTGCAAATACCATGTTCAAACAGAAGAATGCAAGTCGGGAATGGACATGGGAGTCGCCGGACGGGAGAACCAAAAACAAGATAGACTTTGTCATGGTGAACAACAAATGGAAATCAAGCGTCCAATGCGGTAGAAGTTTTCCAAGTGCTGATGTGGCCTCAGATCACCAACTGGTTATCTGCAACTTCAAGCTACGATTCAAAACTAAACCCAAACAGAACGTAATGAAGAGATACGATGTGTCGAAACTGAAAGATGAAAACACATAAAAACTAGAAATGCAATCGTGTCACAACGATGTGCGTGCAATGACGCCATGTTTCTACGTGTCAAACGAAAGAGCATCTTTCGGACTAGTTAGTAGTTACGCAGAGTATGAAGTAGCATTTAATGTCATGCTTAACCGATTAAAAAAAATCCGGCTTCTTGATGCTCTGCACTTGGCCACTTAGAATGTACAGAAAAATAAAGATCGTTCTGGGGTCCAGAAGCGTGAACCCGATTTGCCCCATAGACAATGCGTGTAATGCATGGGCGGAAAAACGAACAGGATCTGTATTATGACCGGACTTTAATTGTTTGTTTTTTCTCTCTCTTTATGTCTCTTTATCGGACGTATTTGGTATCATTGGAAAGAGAATTTCATGGTTGTTATTGTGAACAACTCTCTTTTGTTCTGTGGTAATCCTATCGAAACACGTGATGTAAAATAGATTTATAGGACAAAATGGCGTCTTAAATGACCCCCTTGAACAATTTTAAAAATCCGGCCAAGAGGTGCCCTGCGTATTGCAACTCGCAAAGCCACTGCAAAATTTCGAGGAAAAAAAAGGACGTTTAGGGGGCGAAAAGCAGTCTGAAAAAAATGACGCCATAGCCGATACGTGTTATAATATTGGGCGGAAACTCGGCGGAATTCGTATAATGACCCGTGTTTAAATGTGATTTATTCAAAAAAAATTGTGTGAACATATACCATACTTGGTATCATTCGAAAGGGCACTTCATTGCGATCAGTTTGACACCATTGTCATATGCTTGCAATGTACTGCACGCATTAAAGGCGCTATTACGTAATGCATAGTAAATTCATCATTTTTAGCGATAACTTTGCGCTGACATATTCGAATTTTACCAAACTTGGCAAACAGTTGTCACCTATTTGGATACATGTGTCTGCAAAGTTTCATTGATGTAGGTATAAAGATCACCGGTTTAGGGCAAGTTGAAGATATTTCTCAATTTTCTTGAAAATGGCGAATTTGGAGGGCAATTTTCTCAAATTTGGTCAGTGTTAGCGTATATAATTTTGTATATGGCTGGAAAGGGCATATCTTCAAGTATCTAAATCCAAAAAAAGGTACGGGTTTGCCAAGCCATTATGGAGATACGGCCACAGAGAGAAAGCCAATTCCCAGAACTTTAGAGGGCGCTATTTATGTTGTGCAAAGCCGTTGGAGCGTGAAATTTGGCATGGCTAAGTGCAATTTTGAGATAAGGATAATGTGAGATTTAAACACAAAACGGAATTTATATGAGAAAGTTATGGCAGTTTTAGATTTTTAGGGGTCCATTTTTCAAGAATTTGAGAGATTTTTGACGGAGTCAGTTTCAGATTTGAATTTTGAGTACGAAGATGGCATTTTGAAGGTCAAATTATACGTCGTAGATGAAAGAACATCTCTTAGACTATCTAGAGGAATTTGTTAGAAGTTTGTAGGATCTAGGATAGTGGAGAGAGGAAGGAAGAAAGAAAGGCCTTAAAATGGACCAGAAACGGACAAAATGGCGCCTGGACGGTTATGCATGAGTGATTTTGAAAATCGAAGAATGTAGTGACCTTGATGAGATGTTAGAGACTATGCCTATGAAATTTGAAAGGAAAAGGACATGAGGAAAGCACCTAACTAGGAATAACAAACACTACGTGCAAAACGAATGGGATTTCTGGACGATAAGGAAAACAAGGAAAAGGAAAATATTAATGGGGCAGAATGTGAACGAAAACAAGGCAATGACGAAGGTCGTCATTGCAACTAGAAATGCAATCGTGTCAGAACGATGTGCGTGCAATGACGCCGTGTTTCTACGTGTCAAACGAAAGAGCTTCTCTCGGACTATCCAGAGCAATTTGTACGAAGTCTGTAGCTTCTGTGATATTGGAGATAGGTAGGGCGAAAGAAAGGCATCAACAGTGACCTTGATGGGATGGTACTATGCCTACGAAGTTTGAAAGAAATTGGGATAGGGGAAAGAACCTAGAAAGGGCTCGCCAGCACTGCGTGCACAAACCAATGGGATTTGGTGCATGTTTGACATTGCAATCAAGTTCGTTCTGGGGGCCAAAAGCGTGAACCCGATATGCCCCATAGACAATGCGTGTAATGAATGGGCGGAAAACGTGCAGGATCTGTATCTATGATAATCCTATCGAAACACGTGATGTAAAATAGATGTATAGGACAAAATGGCGTCTTAAATGGCCCCCTTGACCAATTTCAAAAATCCGGCCAAGAGGTGCCCTGCGTATTGGAACTCGGCATGTCACTGCAAAATTTCAAGGAAAAAAAAAGGACTTTTAACCCGTTCAACTCGGGAACCGAGATTTCTCGGGTCCCGAGGTACGTACTCACAAACGGGAACCGAGATTTCTCGGGTCCGAGCAAGGGCTTCTTTTATTGCAGAAAAGTACATCTATTCACCTTCTAAATACAATATAAACTACCTGTATACAAACCTTGAACCTTTGGTTACATGCATCTCATTTTTTACCGACTGTAGATGCGTAATTTTTGTTTTATTACAAGTTTAGCATGAGAATGCACGAGTCCTCTTTCAGGATATTCGTATAGAACACATGCAAGTCAGTTTACGTTATTTTCATAGATTTTCGGATTCGCTGCTGCTAGCTAGCTGGGTCTACTATGCCTAGGACTGTGTAAGCCGGACATAATGATTTTGCAAGCAGCGAATTCCACATTCGCTCTGGATACCTTTGTACTCGGCACGGGCGGATACACCGTTCAATGCATGAGCCTTGGCCTTATATGGTCATTGACGCCTATTCATGGTAACGGGCCGATTATTGAAAAGCTTATAGTATATTACAGTCTCGTTCGACCTAGCGCTCTCAGTTCAGTTTACTCATGCATACGTATACAGGGTACCGGGCCGACCTATTATTGGGGAGATTAGCTAGTCTCGATATAGTCCATCCCATTGTTTCGTTTCAAGGTTGTCGGCTATTATTTACTTATCGTGCTATAAAGTGTCGGAGTTTTACTATTTAGTTAAGCTTTTTGATTTTCATGATAGTTGGTTGCACAAATTAGTTCTCAATTATTTGCTTATAACTGCTCTTTATCTATGTAAGATAGTTTCTCAAAATGTCTCGTCATCGGAGAAAGCCTATTTTTAGCGTTGAAGATGCTCGAGAAGCGATCCTTGACTCGGACTCAGAAAATGAATATGATACAAATGGACTTATCAAGCGAAGAAGAGTATTCATCGGACGTAGAAAATGAAGAATATGAAACAACGACATTCGATGATATTTCCATAAGTTATCTATAAAGCCTGTCGTCTCAAAAGTTTTGACTCCACAGCTATCTTTTACGTCATTGTATTTACATGACAATACGCTTTTCATGTTATCAACTTGACCAATTTAGCGAATCATTCATGTATGGACCTCCTCTTTTATGAAAGGCTTATCCAGGCTCCCTCAGCTGCCCCACGCTAAGGGGGAACAAAAGAATGTAAAGAAGTAACTACTCTGGAAGATTGCCGTTTTGAAAGAAGAGGATGTAGGCGTAAATAGGTCAATTTACATTACAATACAAACAACCACTCTAACTTATACACCTTTACGAGGGCATGTAACAGTTTTAGAGCAGGTTGAAGTAAAATATCTTGATCAACCTAAAGCCGGTCTTGGCTTGAGCGGGCATATGAAATGTTCAAATATTATGTTCTGAAAAACGACCCCTTACTCTTCCTCTCTCTCCCTACGGAATATTACTCTTGTCTTGAGCAACTCCGGCAGTAAAGCCACGAATATGAGACTTTTCCCGGGCAAAGATGCTACCATTGTTGAAAAAATGCAAGGCAACATAAAACAAGTTTTCTGGCAATGAAGAAAAGCGAGTGCGAGATGAAGAAAATAATTGTTATTATTATTATTACTATTTTATTACAATATTGTAAGCATCATCTACATCATCATCATCATCATCATCATTATCATTATCATGTATGCATGTACATGCCATCTACAGAACTGATCATGAAACGAGGATTATCTAAGTTTTATTGACACGATAGGTTGAACAAGGACACAGATGGAGACGAAGACAAATAAAGTGAATTATCACGTTGTTTGCACTTCTTTCTTTATTGTTCCGTAATATAATGAATTACTATATTTTCAATATCATTTATTTTCGAATAAATAAAAGACTACCAATACTACTGCGATTAACTCCTTATTAGCCGCACCCTTTCAAAAAACAAAAAACAAACACAACAACGCGATACGGAAATAAAATACACTGAAGCACAATTCCAATTTCACGAAATTCCTGACGTATTCAGAGAGGGAAGGGGGAGGATAGAGACAGACAGACAGAGACAGACAGAGAAAGATAGATAAATAGATAGAAAGAGAGAGAGAGAGAGAGAGATGATTGTGATGAATTATGATTTTGTTCTAATCTCTGTCATTTAATTATCTCTTTCCATTACATACAAAACAAATAAAATATGCGTACAATGATATTTAATGATATTTGTCTCTCCGGTCACCCCCCCCCCCCCCCCCAACTCTGATTTTTTTTCTTCTTTATTTTGTCTCCTTTTTGTTTGATTATATCTTTTTGCTAAAGTATAATGTCCGACGTATAACATCAAGGATATGTTATAATAATTAATCTCAAGGAAGGGATGATGTCGGCATACATGCAAATGGCGGAATAGACAACATTATGAAGATGAAGATGGAAAACGACATAGACAGAGAGACAGACGGACAGGGAGAGACAGAGACAGAGAGAGAGGGGGGGGGGGGCGGGGGGAGATAGAAAGTTGGACGTAGTCTGTACTGTATTTATTACTATGTTATTTTTCTCACTGACCCCCCCCCCCCCCCCCCCCCCCCTCAAGCCCACATTTTTTCTTTCCATTTTTTTGTTTTGTTTTGTTTATATCTTTGGGCTAAAGTATAATATCCGACGTATAATAGTACCGTCAATATAGCATAATAAACAATTTTTGTATCAATCAGTTTGATGCAACAGGGATTTACAATCAAAAGTTTTACTTGGTATAATTGTTGTTCGGTAATGTTCTTCTCATTTCGACATTATCAGCCACTCGTTCTCTATTTCGTTTCCTATAATAAATATAAGATATAATGTGTACATCATCAGGGATAATTACGTTATAATAATTAATCTCAAGGAAGAGATGCTGCCGGCGTACAGGCAAATAGAGGAATAGAAAACATTATAAAAAAGAGGAAGATGGAAAACGACATTGCCAGATAGACAGAAAGACAGAGAGAGAGAGAGAGAGAGAGAGAGGGGGAAAAAGAGAGAGAGAGAGAGAACGAGGGAGAGAGAGAGAGAGAGAAAGGGGAGGGGAAAGCTAGGGGGCGGGAGAGATAGAAAGTTGGACGTAGTCCGTACTGTATTTATTTATATAATATTTGTCTCTCTGATCACCCCCCCCCCCCAGCTCCGATTTTTTGTTTACCCTTTAGTTTGCCCTTTTTTTTCTTCATCATAATTATAGATATCTTTTCACTGAAGTATAATGTCCGACGTATAATAGTATTGTAAATATAGCATTTCAAACATTTTTTTTATATCAATAAATTTGATGCAACAGATATTTTCATTCAAAAGTTTTACTTTGGAAATATAATTATTGTTCAGTAATATTCTTCGCATTTCGACATTATCAGCCGCTCGTTCTCTATTTCGTTTCCTATAATAAATATAAGGTATAATGTGTACATCATCAGGGATAATTACGTTATAATAATTCGTCGCTGTTTTCACGAAGTGACGGTAGTGAAAGAAAAATGCATTCACTTTGCGTGACTTCGTGAAAACAAGGACGAATTAATCTCAAGGAAGAGATGATGTCGGCATACAAGCAAACGGAGGAATAGAAAACATTTAATAAAACAAGATGAAGATGGAAAACGACATTGCCAGATAAACAGAGAGACATATAGAGGGAGAGAGAGAGAGAGAGAGAGAGGGGGGAAATAGAAAGAGAAAGAGAGAACGAGCGAGAGAGAGAGAGAGAGAGAGAGAAAGGGGAGGGGGAAGGGGGCGAGAGAGATAGAAAGTTGGACGTAGTCCGTACTGTATTTATTTATATGATATTTGTCTCTCCGATCATCCTCCCCCCCCCCCCCCCCCCCCCACCCCAGCTCCGATTTTTGTCGCCTTTAGTCTGTCCTTTTTGTTATCATATAGATATCTTTTCGCTGAAGTATAATGTCCGACCTATAATAGTATAGTCAATATAGCATAATAAACAGTGTTTATATCAATTTGTTGCAACAGAGATTTTCATTCAAAAGTTTTACTTTGGAAATATAATTATTCGCATTTAGACATTATCAGCCGCTCGTTTTTCACTTCGCTCGCTATAATAAATATAAGGTATAATAAAGTGTGTACATCATCATTATTTTATAATAATCTATCTCAAAAAAGGAATGTTGCCGGCATACAAGCAAACGGCGGAACAAAATTGGCAGATAGACAGAGAAAGCGACCGAGTGAGAGATAGAGGGAGAGAGAGAGACACATAAGCAGAGAGAAAGAGAGAGAGAAACAATCATTTCTTATAATTATCTATTTGTCTGTGACATTTTATCTTTATCACATATTCTTGTCCATTCCTTTATCGTGCATGATTGTTGTCTTTGAATGAGTGTTTCAGATAGGGTAAAGTCTGGCTTTACGTTATATGATTTTTATTTATGAGAATGTCGGAACGTGATCCCATTTAAAAATTTAAAAAACAGCAACGACAACTGCAATAACAACAAGACCCTTCCCTCCCCCAAAACAACATAAAGCAGGGTTATACATGAATACAAAGTCAGTTCATTGTTGTTGTTGTTGTTGTTTGGTATTATCGGCGTTTCATTCTTTTTTAGAATATTTACGCCTTTCACTTTATTTATTTTTTTCTTCTATTTGTTGGTACTATTTGTAAATTCATACTCTTCTCTTTTTTTTTTGGATAATATAATCTCAGATCTGTCATCCAATTATTCAATTATACCCTTACCTTACTTCCGCTCTTTAGAGTTTATAGCCATGACAACGACCCGTACCCTCAGCAACGTTGAACTTGAAGGTGCTAGAATGTAATGACGCAAATATCAGAGGCAGCGGAGCGACTTTAAAAGTGGGAGGGCACCAACAAAAAAGGGCACTTTCTGGGAAAAAAGGGCACCTTCAAAGGGAAATCTCAAGGCGAAAATATACACTTTTTTTAGACATTGGTATATACCCCTATATTGTGATTACATTATCAGGGATGATTTCAAAATTTGTTTCTCTTTATACATTGTATAAGATATTGCTTAAGCATCATACTTTGCAGTTTGGTGTGATGGTCTGTAACTCATTTGCGAGCGAGCAAAGCGAGCGAGGAGAAATTTAAAGAGTTGTGAGGTCGCATTGCAAAAAATGACGTCTTAGAAAGAAGAAAAACCCAATCCTGATGGGGTTATAACAACAATTTCATGATGGAAGACCAAAAAGACCTTTGATAAGTAACATAATTATAACATCTATAAATGCGAGTGAGCGAACTTTGGGGGACATTGCTCTTAATCGCTTGAAATTAGGGGCACGTTTAATGATGAGAGGAAAAGGGGACACTTATCGAAAGGAATAAGACACTTATTAGAAAATAAAATATTGATCAATTTTCATCCAAATTTTGATATGTTTTAGCTGAGACAATTCTCTACAGATACAGTATCCACGAATTTTCATTTTGATGAAAACATCATGGCGTATTTTTGCGATTAAAGGAGGCATGTCAATTTTTTACATTTTGCGTGTATTCTCTATGGGACATGACTTTTTCTGAAAACTGGATTCTACATTCCCGTCTTTCACAAGCAATATCTCCGTCGTCTTAGCTTCGTTTTCGCTGAGCATCGAGTATGTTGTAGGTAAGCTATCACAAGTGTGCCATGTATTTCTCAATCAGATGCCGGGATCATGCTCATATTTCACTTGCAAAGTGGGATTTGAGAATTTCATTTTCCGTTTATGTGTAATCGCTATGGGAAATGTTTTGGTATATCGGTAACGCACTTGACTTCCAACCTCGAGGTCCCTGGTTCGAGTCCGGGCGTCTCCAACAATCTTTTTTTTCTTTTTGACCTTTCACTGTACCATCTCCTTTGAATACTAAAACACGTAAAATCGCAAATCGCGTAATAAACAGCCATATTTACTTTATTATAACCCTATTTTCACTTGATCCATTACTTTTAGCGTGTAATTCCTAAGGGAGATGACTTTTTCTCGAATCTGGAATCTACATTCCTATCTTCTGCGAGCAATATCGACATTATTTCTGCTTGGGTTATGTTGATTTTCGAGTATGTTGTAGCTGAGACTATATGCTATCTAAATATTCTCCCATTTTTTTCAATCAGATGTCATCATGGTCTGTTGATGATGATCATCAACATCATGATCATGATCATGATCATGATCGTCATCACCATTACTATCAAGATCATCATGATCATGATCATCATCATGATCATCATTGTTTACATGTCTATATAACTTGAAGGCAGACCACCTTATTCGTCCTCGTGACGAATTAAATTCTAGTTATATCTTGTTGTTGCATTAATTTCAAAGAGCGTAGTGCAACGTCAAAACAAAGAAACATGGATTTATCAACGAAACTTTTGATCAGCCTTTTCTACCTTTTATCCAACATGGCCGACAGGAGCCAAAGATATCAAAGAATAATTTGATCAGAGGCTACGGATGAAACTTTGCTATATATATTCGGGGTCGAGAGATCAGCTCAGATGAGGTTCATTGTGTTTTTGTGTCATCTCTGCTAACTGATTTATTCTGAGGGTAAATGATTTTGTTTGTTACGTTACGTTTTTTTAATTTTTTTATTTGGCGGGTCCTTTTTCTTAGCAGCGGGGGGGGGGGGGTATAATGCTTGGACATTGACAAGGGAATCACCATGTACTCATATTTTTTGATATAGGAAAAGTAATTTCCATGATTCATTCATACCATCCAAAAGGCATAGATATAACATACCTGAGCAATTATTAGAGACCAGCTAGCAACAGTTCCCTCAGCGTTTAGTTCCTGTGGGTGACAGTATGATTTAAACGAAATTTCTATGATTAATTCAAACCATCCAAAAGGCATAGATATATCATACCTGAGCAAGTAGATGGCGTTTGAGACCAGCTAGCTATAGTTCCCTCATCGTTCAGTTGACAAACTACCGTCAGGTTATTAGGGTCTGATGTGAAGCCATGACTGCAGGTGTAATGGTATGCTTCCCCAGGGCTTCCTTCAGTGATCGAAATAGACTCTGTGTTCGTACCATTTCCAGGTGAGCCACATTTGACCTCTGATTCAGGTGGAGAATGAAAAGAAACTATTATTTTATTTGTTGTATGATTTTATTCTTGTAATTCTACCTAGCGGTTTGTATTTATTATCAATTATCCAAAGTTAAAAAATAGAAGCACTGGTATTTCAAAGTTACCTTTTTTGAGGTTGTCTTTTACCCTGGTAATAGGCTACTACAATTCTTTACCTTTGGTTAAAAAAAAAACACCATTTTAAGATTTTATGCAAGTTGGTCGAAGGGCCCAAAGATATAAATAAACAATTTGATGCATATGCTACGGATGCAACTTTGCTATGTATATTAGGGGTTGACGGATCAGCACAGATGAGTTTTAATTGTTTTTGGTGTCATTCCAGCTCATAGCTTAATTCTAAGGGTTCATGATTTTGTGTATTATATTACGTTTCATATTGCAAAGTATTGTTTTATTTAATTATATTACATGTGTTTATAGGAGAAAAGGCATGGTTTGTCAGTATTCACAATGTTAAAACTGAGCAAAAAGGTGGTACTGGAGATCAGCTAGCAACAGTTCCCTCAGCGTTCAGTTCATGCGGGTGGCAGCATGATTTAAAAGAAATTTCCATGATTAATTCATACCATCCAAAAGGTATAGATATATCATACCTGAGCAAGTAGATGGCGTTAGAGACCAGCTAGCTATAGTTCCCTCATCGTTCAGTTGACAAACTACCGTCAGGTTATTAGGGTCTGATGTGAAGCCATGACTGCACGTGTAATTGTATGCTTCCCCAGATTGTCCTTCAGTGATTGAAACAGACTCTGTGTTTGTACCATTTTCAGGTGAGCCACATTTGACCTCTGATTCAGGTGGAGAATGAAAAGAAATTATTAATTTATTTGTTCTATGATTTCATTCTTGTAATTCTACCTTGCAGTTTGTATTCATTATCAATTATCCAAAGTTAAAAAAATAGAATTGCTGGTTTATATTCAGAGTTTCTTTTTGTTTGTTGCCTTTTACCGTGGTGTAGGAGACTAAAATTCATTACCTTTACCAAAAGAAACAAGTCATTTTCTATTCTATGTTTTATGCAAGATGGCCGATAGGCCCAAATATAAATAAACATTTTGATGCATATGCAACGGATTCAACTTTGCTATGTATATTCGAGGTCGACAGATCAGCACAGATGAATTTCATTGTGTTCAGTGTCATCCCAGCTCACAACTAAATTCTAAGGGTTCATGATTTTGTGTATTAAATTACGTTTCATATTGCAAAGTATTGTTTTATTTTAGTCTATAGCATTTGTTTATAGGAGAAAAGGCATGGTTTGTCAGTATTCACAATGTTAAAACTGAGCAAGAACATGGCGTTATAGACCTGCTAGCAACAGTTCCCTCAGCGTTTAGTTCATGCGGGTGGCAGTATGATTTAAAAGGAATTTCTATGATTAATTCAAACCATCCAAAAGGTATAGTTATATCATACCTGAGCAAGTAGACGGCGTTAGAGACCACCTAGCAATAGTTCCCTCATCGTTTAGTTGACAAACTACCGTCAGGTTATTAGGGTCTGATGTGAAGCCATGGCTGCAGGTGTAATTGTATGCTTCCCCAGGGCTCGCTTCAGTGATTGAAATAGACTCTGTGTTCGTACCATTTTCAGGTGAGCCGCATTTGACCTCTGATTTAGGTGGAGAATGAAAAGAGAATATTACTTAATTTGTTGTTTGATTTTATTCTTGTAATTCTACCATGTATTAATTATCAATTATCGCAAGTTTAAAAATAGAAACACTGGTATTGCAAAGTTACCTTAAAAAAATACTTTTTACTCTGGTAATAGGCTATTATTATGCCTTCGGTAAAAATAAAACGTCATTTTTTACGTTTTATCCAAGATGGTCGACGGAACCCATATATATAAATAAATAATTTGATACGTATGCTACAGATGCAACTTTGCTATATATATTTGGGGTTGAGAGATCAGCTCAAATGAGTTTAATTGTGTTTCTGTGTCATCCCTGCTCACTGCTTTATTCTGAGGGTAAATGATTTTGTTTGTTACGTTACGTTTTTTAATTTTTATTTGGCAGGTCCTTTTTCTTAGCAGTGGGGGGGGGGGGGTGATAATGCTGGGGCATTAACAAGGGAATCACCATGTAGTCATATTTTTTGATACAGGAAGAGTAATTTCCATGATTCATTCATACCATCCAAAAGGCATACATATAACATACCTGAGCATATACATGGTATTGGAGACCAGCTAGCAACAGTTCCCTCAGTGTTCATTTCATGTGGGTGGCAGTGTAATGTTAAAGTAATTTGCACGATTAATTCATAACATCCAAAAGGCATCAATATATCATACCTGAGCAAGTAGATGGCGTTTGAGACCAGCTAGCTATAGTTCCCTCATCATTCAGTTGACAAACTACCGTCAGGTTATTAGGATCTGATGTGAAGCCATGACTGCATGTGTAGTTGTATGCTTCCCCAGGGCTTCCTTCAGTGATTGAAATAGACTCTGTGTTCGTACCATTTCCAGGTGAGCCACATTTGACCTCTGATTCAGGTGGAGAATGAAAAGAAATTATTACTTTATTTGTTGTATGAATTCATTCTTGTAATACTACCTTGCGGTTTGTATTTATTATCAATTATCCAAAGTTAAAAGATAGAAGCACTGGTATTTCAAAGATACCTTTTTTGGGGTTGTCTTTTACCCTGGTAATAGGCTACTACAATTCTTTACCTTTGGTTTAAAAAAAACATCATTTTAAGGTTTTATGCAATTTGGTCGAAGGGCCCAAAGATATAAATAAACAATTTGATGCATATGCTACGGATGCAACTTTGCTATGTATATTAGGGGTTGACGGATCAGCACAGATGAGTTTTAACTTTTTTTGGTGTCATCCCAGCTCATAACTCAATTCTAAGGGTTCATGATTTTGTGTATTAAATTACGTTTCATATTGGAAAGTATTGTTTTATTTAATTATATTACATGTGTTTATAGGAGAAAAGGCATGGTTTGTCAGTATTCACAATGTTAAAACTGAGCAAAAAGGTGGTACTGGAGATCAGCTAGCAACAGTTCCCTCAGCGTTTAGTTCATGCGGGTGGCAGTATGATTTAAAATATAAAATTCTATGATAAATTCAAACCATCCAAAAGGCATAGATATACCTGAGCACGTAGACGGCGTTAGAGACCAGCTAGCTATAGTTCCCTCAGCGTTCAGTTCACAAACTACCGTCAGGTTATTAGGGTCTGATGTGAAGCCATGACTGCACGTGTAATTGTATGCTTCCCCAGATTGTCCTTCAGTGATTGAAACAGACTCTGTGTTTGTACCATTTTCAGGTGAGCCACATTTGACCTCTGATTCAGGTGGAGAATGAAAAGAAATTATTAATTTATTTGTTGTATGATTTCATTCTTGTAATTCTACCTTGCAGTTTGTATTCATTATCAATTATCCAAAGTTAAAAAAATAGAATTGCTGGTTATTCAGAGTTTCTTTTTGTTTGTTGCCTTTTACTGTGGTAGTAGGAGACTAAAATTCATTACCTTTACCAAAAGAAACAAGTCATTTTCTATTCTATGTTTTATGCAAGATGACCGACAGGCCCAAATATAAATAAACATTTTGATGCATATGCAACGGATTCAACTTTGCTATGTATATTCGAGGTCGACAGATCAGCACAGATGAATTTCATTGTTTTCAGTGTCATTCCAGCTCATAACTCAATTCTAAGGGTTCATGATTTTGTGTATTAAATTATGTTTCGTATTGCAAAGTATTGTTTTATTTAATTATATTACATGTGTTTATAGGAGAAAAGGCATGGTTTGTCAGTATTCACAATGTTAAAACTGAGCAAAAAGGTGGTACTGGAGATCAGCTAGCAACAGTTCCCTCAGCGTTTAGTTCATGCGGGTGGCAGTATGATTTAAAAGGAATTTCTATGATTAATTCAAACCATTCAAAAGGTATAGATATATCATACCTGAGCAAGTAGACGGCGTTAGAGACCAGCTAGCAATAGTTCCCTCATCGTTCAGTTGACAAACTACCGTCAGGTTATTAGGATCTGATGTGAAGCCATGGGTGCAGGTGTAATTGTATGCTTCCCCAGGGCTCGCTTCAGTGATTGAAATAGACTCAGTGTTCGTACCATTTCTTGGTGAGCCACATTTGACCTCTGATTCAGGTATAGAATAAAAAGAAATTATTACTTTATTTGTCGTATGATTTCATTCTTGTAATTCTACCTTGCGGTTTGTATTTATTATCAATTATCCAAAATTAAAAAAAAAAAACACTAGTATTTCAAAGTTAACTTTTTGGGGGTTGTCTTTTATTCTGGTAAAAGGCTACTAAAATTCTTTAGATTTGGTTAACAAAACACGTCATTTTCTATGTTTTATGCAAGTTGCCGAAGGGCCCATCGATATAAATAAACAATGTGATGCATATGCTACGGATGCAACTTTGCTATGTATATTAGGGGTTGACAGATCAGCACAGATGAGTTTTATTTGTTTTGGTGTCATCCCAGCTCAAACTCAATTCTAAGGGTTCATAATTTTGTGTATTATATTTCGTTTCATATTGAAAAGTATTGTTTTATTTAAGTCTATTACATGTGTTTATAGGAGAAAAGGCATGGTTTGTCAGTATTCACAATGTTAAAACTGAGCAAGAAGGTGGTACTGGAGATCAGCTAGCAACAGTTCCCTCAGCGTTTAGTTCATGTAGGTGGCAGTATAATGTTAAAGGAATTTCTATGATTAATTCAAACCATCCAAAAGGCATAGATATATCATACCTGAGCAAGTAGACGGCGTTAGAGACCACCTAGCAATAGTTCCCTCATCGTTTAGTTGACAAACTACCGTCAGGTTATTAGGGTCTGATGTGAAGCCATGACTGCAGGTGTAATTGTATGCTTCCCCAGGGCTCGCTTCAGTGATTGAAATAGACTCTGTGTTTGTACCATTTCCAGGTGAGCCACATTTGACCTCTGATTCAGGTGGAGAATGAAAAGAAATAATTAAGTTATTTGTTGTATGATTTTATTCTTGCAATTCTACCGGTTTGTATTTATTATCAATTATCCAAAGTTAAAAAATAGAATTGCTGGTTTATATTCAGAGTTTCTTTTTGTTTGTTACCTTTTACCGTGAAAGTAGGGGACTAAAATTCATTACCTTTGGCAAAAGAAACAAGTCATTTTCTATTCTATGTTTCATGCAAGATGGCCGACAGGCCCAAATATAAATAAAGATTTTGATGCATATGCAACGGATTCAACTTTGCTATGTATATTCGAGGTCGACAGATCAGCACAGATGAATTTAATTGTTTTCAGTGTCATCCCAGCTCATAAGTCAATTCTAAGGGTTCGTGATTTTGTGTAATAAATTATGTTTCGTAATTGCAAAGTATTGTCAGTATTTTAGTCTATTACATTTGTTTAAAGGAGAAAAGGCATGGTTTGTCAGTATTCACAACATTAAAACTGAGCAAGTAGATGGTATTGGAGACCAGCTAGCAACAGTTCCCTCAGCGTTTAGTTCATGTGGGTGGCAGTATGATTTAAAATATAAAATTCTAAGATTGATTCATACCATCCAAAAGGCATAGATATATCATACCTGAGCAAGAAGATGGCGTTAGAGACCAGCTAGCAATAGTTCCCTCATCGTTTAGTTCACAAACTACCGTCAGGTTATTAGGGTCTGATGTGAAGCCATGACTGCAGGTGTAATTGTATGCTTCCCGAGGTTGTCCTTCAGTGATTGAGACAGACTCTGTGTTTGTACCATCTTCAGGTGAGCCACATTTGACCTCTGATTCAGGTGAAAAATGAAAAGAAATTATTACTTCATTTGTTGATGATTTTATTCTTGTAATTCTACCGGTTTGTATTTATTATCAATTATCCAAAGTTAAAAAAATAAAAACACTGGTATACTAAAATTCTTTACCTTTGGTTAAAAAATCACGTCATTTTTCATGTTTTATGCAAGTTGGCTGAAGGGCCCAAAGATATAAATACACAATTTGATGCATATGCTACGGATGCAACTTTGCTATGTATAGAGGTTGTCAGATCAGCACAAATGAATTTAATTGTATTCAGTGTCATCCCAGCTCATAACTCAATTCTAAGGGTTCATGATTTTGTGTATTATATTACGTTTCATATTGCAAAGTATTGTTTTATTTAATTATATTACATGTGTTTATAGGAGAAAAGGCATGGTTTGTCAGTATTCACAATGTTAAAACTGAGCAAAAAGGTGGTACTGGAGATCAGCTAGCAACAGTTCCCTCAGCGTTCAGTTCATGCGGGTGGCAGCATGATTTAAAAAAAAATTCTATGATTAATTCAAACCATCCAAAAGGCATAGATAAATTGTACCTGAGCAAGAAGATGGCATTAGAGACCAGCTAGCAATAGTTCCCTCATCGTTTAGTTGACAAATTACCGTCAGGTTATTAGGGTCTGATGTGAAGCCATGGCTGCAGGTGTAATTGTATGCTTCCCCAGGGCTCGCTTCAGTGATTGAAATAGACTCTGTGTTCGTACCATTTTCAGGTGAGCTGCATTTGACCTCTGATTCAGGTGGAGAATGAAAAGAGAATATTACTTAATTTGTTGTTTGATTTTATTCTTGTAATTCTACCATGTATTAATTATCAATTATCGCAAGTTTAAAAATAGAAACACTGGTATTGCAAAGTTACTTTAAAAAATACTTTTTACTCTGGTAATAGGCTATTATTATGCCTTTGGTAAAAATAAAACGTCATTTTTTACGTTTTATCCAAGATGGTCGACGGAACCCATATATATAAATCATTTGATACGTATGCTACAGATGCAACTTTGCTATATATATTTGGGGTTGAGAGATCAGCTCAAATGAGTTTAATTGTGTTTCTGTGTCATCCCTGCTCACTGCTTTATTCTGAGGGTAAATGATTTTGTTTGTTACGTTACGTTTTTTAATTTTTATTTGGCGGGTCCTTTTTCTTAGCAGTGGGGGGGGGGGGTGATAATGCTGGGGCATTAACAAGGGAATCACCATGTAGTCATATTTTTTGATACAGGAAGAGTAATTTCCATGATTCATTCATACCATCCAAAAGGCATACACATACCTGAGCATATACATGGTATTGGAGACCAGCTAGCAACAGTTCCCTCAGTGTTCATTTCATGTGGGTGGCAGTGTAACGTTAAAGTAATTTGCACGATTAATTCATAACATCCAAAAGGCATAAATATATCATACCTGAGCAAGTAGATGGCGTTAGAGACCAGCTAGCAATAGTTTCCTCATCGTTTAGTTGACAAACTACCGTCAGGTTATTAGGATCTGATGTGAAGCCACGACTGCAGGTGTAATTGTATGCTTCCCCAGGGCTTCCTTCAGTGATTGAAATAGACTCTGTGTTCGTACCATTTCCAGGTGAGCCACATTTGACCTCTGATTCAGGTGAAGAATGAAAAGAAATGATTACTTTATTTGTTGATGATTTTACTCTTGTAATTCTACAGGTTTGTATTAATTATCAATTATCCAAAGTTATAAAATAAAAACACTGGTAAACTAAAATTCTTTACCTTTGGTTAAAAAAAACACGTCATTTTCTATGTTTTATGCAAGTTGGCCGAAAGGCCCAAAGATATAAATAAACAATTTGATGCATATGCTACGGGTGCAACTTTGCTATGTATATTAGGGGTTGACGGATCAGCACAGATGAGTTTTAATTGTTTTTGGTGTCATCCCAGCTCATAACTCAATTCTAAGGGTTCATGATTTTGTGCATTAAATTATGTTTCGTATTGCAAAGTATTGTTTTATTTTAGTCTATTACATTTGTTTATAGGAGAAAAGGCATGGTTTGTCAGTATTCACAATGTTAAAACTGAGCAAGAAGGTGGTACTGGAGATCAGCTAGCAACAGTTCCCTCAGTGTTTAGTTCATGCGGGTGGCAGTATGATTTAAAAGGAATTTCTATGATTAATTCAAACCATCCAAAAGGCATAGATATATCATACCTGAGCAAGAAGATGGCATTAGAGACCAGCTAGCAATAGTTCCCTCATCGTTCAGTTGACAAACTACCGTCAGGTTATTAGGGTCTGATGTGAAGCCATGACTGCACGTGTAATTGTATGCTTCCCCAGGTTGTCCTTCAGTGATTGAAACAGACTCTGTGTTTGTACCATTTCCAGGTGAGCTACATTTGACCTCTGATTCAGGTGAAGAAATGAAAAGAAAATATTTATTTAATTGTCATATGATTACATTCTTGTAATTCTACCTTGCGGTTTGTATTTATTATCAGTTAAAAAATAGAATTACTGGTTATTCAGAGTTTCTTTTTGTTTGTTGCCTTTTACCGTGGTAATAGGCTATTCAAATTCTATACCTTTGGTTTTTTTAAAACACACTCAATTTACGTTTCATCCAAGATGGCTGACGGGCCCAAAGATATAAATAGATAACTCGATGCATATATGCTATAGATGCAACTTTGTTATAATAAAAATAATATACTAGTTTTTATATAGCGCTTATTACAATCACTGAGTGCTTTCAAACTTGGAGATTATTACCCCGACTCTGTGCTGCCATTACGGCGCTCTAGAATTTCAAAGAATAAGCTCTTGCCAGGTACCCATTTACATCACCTGGGTTGAGTGTGGCAAATGTAGATCAATGTCTTGCCAAAGGACATTAGTGCCGCGGCGGGTCTCGAACCGCGGACCTTATGATCGACAGTCCGGTGACTTAACCACTCGACCACGGCACCTCTGCATGAATATTCGGGGTTGACAGATCCAGTGGCGAATCCAGGATTTGTCGATAAGGGTTTTAAAAATCGCGCCGACCAAAATTTGGCTCAGTGGGAGCTAGGGCTCAAATTAATTTTTTGTCCACGGGGGCTCTTCCAAAAAAAAAAAGAGCCCCCGTGAGCCTTCTCACGGGGGCTCTTTTAGTACTGACGGGGGCTCTTTTTTAAAATACATACATCCATTGAATTGGTACCCATGATAGTCCTAAATTCTTTGCTATTTTATCTTTATAATTAATAGTCGGCATTATTTCCCTCTTACAACTTTACAAGTTATAACATGCAGCTAATGGTCAGATCTCCTCCTCCTTCTGTACGAAATTTCTACTACCCAAGCCCGTATACATTCGCCTCCTTGCCAGGTTTACTTTTTACTAATTTTAGCTTTCGGCCCGACTTTCGGTTGATTCACTGGTTGAGGTTCATTATTTGCTGGTCTTTTAATTGGAATCACCAGATTTCAGAGGATTCACGATTTTCACAACGAAAAACTTCTCCACGTTTCGGTCCTTGCGCGATCGCCTCTAGCTCCAGCAGACATGGGGCGGCAGCGTGCACATCAGTATACTA